GCTGGCAAACAAATCACCTGACTGTCAGTTGATTTTTTTCATAGAAAAAGAGAGAAACAGAACTTAAAGCTAGATCATAGCATCTTATTTCTCTTCTTTCCAGGCCTGGTATTGAATTGCATGTAAAAAAAATATATACTTGGAAAAAACTGATCCAGACAGCATCATTAAAGCAGAAACAGCAATGTGGATCAACTTTAATAACACTTAAAAACATCCTCCTAGTCATCCTCAGACAAAACCACAGGCCTAAAATTAAAATATATGAATTAAATGTCTCAGAGATAAAGTGAAACTTATTTGAGGTGCTGAAGTATCCTTACCTTTGTGACAGTCATGCAGAATCAGTTGGTGAGGAGCAGGCCAACGTCCCCTTCCAGCAAAGAGCAGCGCCGCAGGAGTGGCACAGTGATGATGAGGAGAGGAGGGCAGCTCTGCTGAATATGCAGAGAGGAGAGCAGAGAGAGGAGGGGGCAGTCAGGTTAGTGTGTCTGGCTCATTCAGTACAAGGGGCTGACTCCTGCTGCAGTGAAGTAATGGCTGGCAGTCGGCTTGCGGCTGGTTACTACGAGAGGGAAAAGCTCCAAGCAAGGATACACCCCTCCTCCCTCACCAACTGCTCACTCACTAACACACCCACACAGAAATGATGCAGGCAAAGTCTGCCTGCCTGCTACTCTCAGCTCCCTTGCTCTCAGCCACTCACAGTATGATTAGTGATGAGCAAATAAGAGCTTATCGATGAGGAGGAGTGGGGAAGGACTGCAGGAGGAGGTGGGAGCAGGGCTGCTTGGGACGGGAAGCAGACTGCAGAAACAGAGATGGAGGGAGGGAGTTGGATGCTGTGTCGCAGTCTGCCACCCAGGCATGTCACATGGTGGAAATGAATGTGAAGAGTTCCACAAGCAAAAAGAAAGCATAAACAGTGTTAATTCATCTTTGCATTACATCTGATTTGTGTAGCATGAGGCAGTAGCACATAAAAAACTAGGAGGTTGCTAAATAACAACAATACCTATCAACAAACACATTTTCTTTGTAGTGTTCATGGATGGGATGTAGAGAGCTATTCATAAAAAAGAGGATGTTGGGTTTGGAAAACTCTGTGACCCATCTTTGGTTTTTCCTTTGAGCTGTGAGCTTCAGTGTAAAATGGAAAGTTTTGCAGCATGGATGAGAATCAGATCATTTAGGTCTGAGCTAATGTCTGGTGCAATGGTCCTCAAGTGAAAATTGAGGCACTTATCTATCCTTGATGGTCAGATAGAGCGGATGATGACACAGATGGATGAGGTCCTTGTCTGTGGTTATAAAGTCACCAATTCTTGGTAAAAAACAGCTAAGGTATAAAATTATTTGCCCATCCAATGGAAATGGCTGGATGTTTAATAGCTGCTATTAAACTTTACTAGAAATTAAATGCAACTATACCAATGAAAAAAAAATATTTTAACTCTTAAAGTTCAAACAGCATCCTGTTTTGTATTTCTTTTGGACAAGAACAGGAAATCAGGATAGTAACAAAAAAGCAAACACCTACTCTGGTAGAGTAACACATCTTTATCATACTGTCTGAAAAAGGGCACTAGAGACGAGCCAAGATTCCTACTCCGTTTCCATGGCTCATCCTCCCACAGCTTTTTATTGTGCCTGCAGCCTACAATGCTGGCTTTGTTTTTTGTAGCAATAAAAGTTCTTAAAAGCTTATGTGTAAATGCTTGATACTAAGCAACCAAACTCAGCAACATGACTAGATGTCAGTGCATTCTTATTCTTCTTTATTTCTACCACGTACACTTAAATTGTTATTTGGTGGTGTATTTTCATTTGAGGCCCCATTTACAGCATTTCCTGTTTAAAACAATAGAATTTCCTGTGTCTGTGTGCAATTCATGGATAAAGGCAGGACGACTCTAAACTGCATGAGACAGTAAGGAAAAAAGCATTAATCATGAGGTGGAGTGAGGTAGAAACTCTTGATTGCTTATTTTTCGTTCAACCTGAAATAAGCAATTTATCAAATATATATTTTTTATATTTCAAATTAGATTTAGGATTTTTGTCATTTTATTTATATAAAATGGTAATTTATGAGACAGGACTGGTCTTTTAATGTGGTTTGAAATCTACACATTGTGACATTGCAGGAAAATAATTGTGTCCAAGTCTTTGATGTATTTCACCACAATTCCAGTTCACACCTTTTAAAAGGTGTGGAAGGAAAATACATCATCTGCAGGGATGTGGTGGAAAACTTGGGGACATGCGCAGCTGCAGAAGACACTAAGTCTCACTTGTTCCATAACATGCAAGGTTCTGTTATGACATGAGAAATAAAATGGATTTGTATGCAAAATGAAACAGAGCATTATTAAACAGCATGACTATTTAATTTCCAGGAATTATATGCACTGTCTGTTTCAAATTTAGATTTTTCATTTTCCTTCTTTTTTGTTTTGACCATCTGGCATCTTTGGACCAAACTCAGCTCATTTGTACGGCTTTGCTGCCACCTACTGATATTATTATGTAATTGCCTCCAAGGCTGTTCCTTATGCATGACAGAATTATTGAAATGAACAAACTGAAGAATAAATTAAATAAGCAGAAAGGGGTAATAAAACTCCATCTATATATATTACTTCTCTTTTTTTACCTTAAGATTTACTTACATGTCTTACAGGGAAACTAGTTTATTTAAATTGCTCCTAAATAATGTTCAATATTGTAAAATGAGAACACATATTAACATGCATATAGTTCAAACCTAAAAACCTACTGTAAGTTGAAAATAGTTTGTATGTGTCTTCTGTAAGAGCATGTTATATACTGCATGTCCCATCAAATTTCTAAACAAACCTGTTGATTTGGTACAATGGTAATTTTCTGGGTAAAAACACCAAATATTAAATAGTAAAACAGAAGAATTTTGATCCATGCATTTATGCTAAATGTTTTATTCAAGCCACATTGGGGAATTAGTATTGAATTCTAGTTTAGAGTCAAGCCTCAGAGTCTCAGTTCAGTCCAGACTTTCATAACACTTCTCGAAAAAAAAAGATGAGGTTCTTTCTGTAATTCTCCTGTTGTAGGACTTATGTAGGCAAGAGTTGGAGGCTAAAAACTGATGTTCAGATATTATTTTTTAGGATTTTCTGTTAAAGCTGAATTCGCGGTCCCCTTAATTACATCAAGTCCACAAGGCTGCACAATGCTCCTTGTATCAAATACTGTGTTAACTACATGCCTGATGAAATCTGATGCACTTCTTAAAAAAAGTTACATTTTTGTACTTTTAACACAAAATCTTCCCAAAACTCTTTTGACTGTCAACGAGTAAATAGAAAATATTGTGTGTTCTGCACTGGTTTGGTTGAAATGATGTGGGTTCTTATGTATTTCTTGTTTGCCCTCTGTTGCTCTGTTGTGTCAGTCTCATTCCCCTATCTCCCTTCTTGATTCCTCTTCCACACCTGCTCCCAATCTGCTGATTAGCCCGGTCTCTGTTTGTGTCTCCCATGTATACACCCCCTTTTCAGTCACTGTTCCTTGTTGTTTCATAGCTCCTTGTGTGTGTGTTTTCCCTGATATCGCTCTGTATTTTTGGAGTTTTGCTTCAGTTGTCACCTGTTATTAAATCTGCTAGAAACCACCTCAGCTTCCGGTTCTGCATTTGGGTTCTCTTCAAACCTTCACTCAGTCTGATACCTTTTCACGTTGAACACCAAACTCTACAGCCACAACTTTTAATAAAAAAAACAAAAAAGACTACTGATAACTTTACTATAACTTAGTAAAACTTGGATGAATGGATGGTTGGACCTTAAATAATTTAGGATGATGAAAAATTCTGCATGTGTAAAATCCTTTTTCTTAGCTCAGTTTTGATCTTGAAATGACCAAGATTCCCAATGGAAAAGCTAAAGTAAAACATTTTTGAAAGATGTATACATTTTGTGCAATGGTAAAATTGTTTTATACATTTTTTTAATACTCTCACCCACATGTAACTCATTTAATTTCAGGTCTCCCGGGTATAAGATCAGCAACATCCCCAGCCTGTGCCAGATTGTCCATCTGTGGTTTTGTTAATCCTGGACTTGCTGCTATTTGCTTTGGCTCCTATTTAATGGGCTATGGAAATACTTACAGTAGATTCAAAAGTGACTGCTAACTTCACTTATTTCTATGTAAATTTTGCATAGAAGAACAAACTTTTTTCTAACTTCCTTACTATTGGCTTATATCCTCAAATCCATTAAGGAATTGCACACTGTACAACCCTCCTGAGAGGTTTAACTGCTGCTAATAAGATCTCAGGGCATTCAATGTCTACAGTATGATCAGGGATGATATTTGTCTAATAATTGCAATACAAAAGCTTACTGCCACTATTGCATAGCTAACCTCGGCAGCAGGTGCAGAGAGGGGATAAGGATGTATTTCAAGGAGGACATTGTGGACTTTTAAATAGATGAGCCAAATCCAGGATCTGCATAAAAATTATTTTAAAAAAATGGTTGCTGGAATAACTTTAGAGACTTCATAAGCAAACTCACCTTTTGTTAATCATTTAGCCTCACAAGACAAAATATTTAAGCCAGTGTTAATATTGTATTTCTATGAGCAGGAGATGTAGTTCTACTAAAGGTATAAATAGTAGATCCTACTATTTCTAATGATCTGCTTTTCTGGCCTGCAGACAACAGAGGTAGAGAGAGATGCAAATACGTTGTGAAAAGAAGATGACCATTTACATGAAAGGTGCATTGTCAGGCCATGATGCACATCCACACAATTTATGCTGTGCTTTCTAACCAGTTTAACCACCAGAATGGCCAAGTTTCATCCAACTCTCTGACATTAGGCAACCACATGCATGATTTACCCTCACAGAAACTGTTGCACTCATGGAACATTTAATATAGGGGGGCTCAAATTTCAGCTTCCCTCTGCACAGATCAGTGTTCCAGCCACTCGTAGGCTGGATGAAAACCACTTCCTCCAAGTGAGAAAAGGTAGAGAAATGAAGCTGAGGAGAGCACACAGAGGAAAAACTGTACCTCGACTAGCAGAGATGGTAATGAAGGTCCACACAAAGAGGAAATTGGAAATAAGAGTTATTGTGGGTCAAATAAATGGTTGTGGTCCCTTCATTTAAAGCAGAAAGTGTCCCTTTGGGATGCATTGTACAGCTATGAGTAAACATTTCCACTACCACTTCAATCAGTGCACGAATGTATCGCTCAAATCTCGCCTTCTCTTTCAGTATCTTTCCACTGGATTTTGTTTCATATAAGTCTAGCCCCCCAAAAGATTTTCCCTTCCAGAGCCTCTCATTTGTTCTGTTTTTTTACCTGACGGTCAATGGGGGCAAATTTCTCAGTTCTCCTAGTTCCAGTCACCGGCTCTTTCAACAATTAAACATGACAGTGTCAACAACAGATAATTTTTGACTTCCACTTGTGCTTCTAGTAGAGTGAGCACAGCTAAATTCTTTTTAAGTTGAAGACAAAATAGTCGTATAGTCTTTTAAAATTAATCGGAAGGATGTAATTTACCTTGCCCTGAGCAATCATTGTCACATAATGAAATAATGGGAAATTCTGTATTTTCCAAAGATATAGATACATTTCATCAATCAACACTAAGATAAAGAAACATTCCTAATGAAATTTAAATATTGACAG